GCTTCAGTCACTTTCGCACCGCCATAACGTTGCTTCCCTGTGCCTTTTCTATAAATACTTTCATCGTAATTGTTCTGAGGAACTTTCCTCTTTGGTAACCTAGATATTAGGAATTTAAGTGCAGTAAAAGACTGGCAGCAAGTTCTCATCATTTTATTATTGAAATGGCGAGATATACTTCTAAGTTCAATGCCAATAGTTTCTTTTCTCGCACTTCTCACTGGTGGAACTCTTTCCCAGCTTCTTGCTTTCCAGTCAAGTTTGATCTTCAAAAATTTACTTGCAATGTCAATCGCTATCTTCGGCCCTCTTAATTCCTCTTCTTTTATTGTTCTCTCTCCTTAATAGTTTTTTCTCCATATTCTCGAACACACAGTAACCCCCCACCCCTTACGTCTTAGTGACTTTAATTACCTTGCTTGGGATGAAATGGTTATCTTTATTATTAAAGAAAGTAAGAAACTTCAACTGTTGATGTGTTAATAATTATTGCAGAAAGAATCTATCAAACTTTAAATAAAAATGGTGAAACACGGGCTGTTTCAAATTCTACACTTGACACATCTGGAATAACTTTGGTGAAGTTCACACTGTTGCTTTGCATATCTCGAAAGCATTTGATTGTGTGGTCTTCTTCTGGAGTTGAAAGTTTATAGTATTTCTAGTTGAATTTTTTAACTGATTCACACCTTTTACGAAATCGCAATAAATGTTACTGTCTTTGACTCAAATAACTGTCTCAATTCGATGTGGCATCAAATGCAATAAGCTCAGATTTTCTCATTGGACATTGTCCCCAGTTCTTCTTGGCAGTAATCCCAAAGCTCCTTGGAAATTGCGTTGTTTTCGTTGGAGCACTTATTTCTTCATTTCCTGTCACAATGTCTCAATTATATATAAAGACTTTGTGTTGGCGAGTCTTCCAAAAGTTAAGCATTGTTATCCACAAGGAACCTGAACAATGTATTCATCTTCGTAGACTTGATGATTTTATTATTTGTCCACCAGCAAATTGTACCGTCTGTGTGTAGTATTTTAGATTGTTTCTTTCTCCTGTTAGTCTTTATCTGATAAATTTATTTAACATTTATCAATAAAAAAAATTATTTTTTCAGGGGCTCCATGTTTCATGGTCTTTCGACGACGTCAATTTTTTATTCTAATGCTGTTTGGTTTATTATATATAAAAATATATTTTTTGTTACTTTGTTACTATACGCCCGTTGCAATTGTTTTCTCGTTATAATCTGCGTACTGTAACAAATTATATATATATATATATATATATATATATATATATATATATATATATATATATATGGATGATATGTCTATATTTCTAAGATATTATGTACATTTTATTTTTACATTATTTGACTATTGTCCTCATTTCTGTTGCCATATTTATCATAACGTTTCGGCCGTTGTACGCTCCTGCCTTCTTCAGGTGGTTGGAATGTCGGACTGAAAGTTCAGTTCGATATTCCAACGATCTGAAGAAGGACGAAGCGTACAACGGCCGATACGTTGTGATAAATATGGCAACAAAAAATGTGGACAATAATACGAATAATGTAAATACTATATATATATATATATATATATATATATATATAAAAACCGTCAGATATTTTGACGAACACATACGGGTCTTGCATCGCAGATCACCTAATTAATAACCATAATTGTACAGCTAATTTTACAGTGGACTCGTTTTCCGTTCTCAATAAGTCCCACTCAAATTACCACTTGAAAATATTGGAGGCCATATATATTTCTTCCTTGAAACTTTCATTATGTAAACCGAAGAATTTTGTTCTGGGCCTCCAATTAGTTTCCATTTAAGAAATTTTTTTCTTCTTCTACATATTGTACATTTTTTATTGATTATTATACCTTTATTAACCTCGATTTAGCGCTGCAGTGGGAGGTTCGAAACCGGTTAGCTATTTTTTTTCCGTTTAAATATTATCTTGAGTGTTGAACAATTTTTGTCTATTCATGGCGGTCATTAAGTCTTGTACCACTAATAAAATCTCTCTCTCTCTATATATATATATATATATATATATATATATATATATATATGTGTGTGTGTGTGTGTGTGTGTTTTCGCGTACGGATACGTGTGTACGTTAACCCTATAGAATGCCTGTGAAGGATAGGGTCATGCACTCACTAATTTGCAAAACAAATATGAAAATGGGTCAAATTTAGAAATATTTGATTTGATTTAATTTCAAATAACAATACCCCTAATAACTGATTATAGGAAGAGAAATGCATCTCGTACCAGAAACTCTCACTGATACACATCCAGGGTGCGATGGATAAATTTTCGTCTAAATGACGCAAAAATAAAAATAACACTAACATCTCATTTTAACGGTGGTTTCCATAACAAGTACGTTTTTTTTTTACGGGTTGGAGGTTCTAACATCACACCCAAACCAGTTTTTCAATTCAGTGTTTCTTTCTCCTACACTGGGACAGAAGAGATGGATTCATGCCTTTCCAAAGGATATTTGTGCGAAAGTGAATGCAACGGCTTCGGTTGGAATTCGTCGAAGAAGTAGAAATTGGAAAGGAAATTGTGGTGAGCTATGATCACCCACATCCTGTAGGAACACAGCACCTCGAAGAAGATGGTTCTCCTTTGACTTTTCTTTGTCGCAGTTCCTCACCTTTGGAATTTTGCATTAATTTTTCTATACTGATGCTTCGATTTCTTCTGCAGTCTCAAACAGTGTGTTAGGGCCATGCGTAATACATTGGAGGATCATGTCTCTTTCAATTTCTGATTAGGTAAACGATGTTCCCAGAGTAGATAATCGTTTCTTTCTGCGATAGACAGGTTGTCAACCAAGACTATAGGACTCAGTCTATCCTAATATTATCCCAAAATACTAATGTAGTACTCATCCTAAAGACTGAACTCACTATTGCTATTCCACGCGTGTACTACTATGTCCAAAATTCATCCCACGTATCATCCTGGTTGAAGAACTCGCCAGCGGCAAGAGGCTACGTGGAGGCCCAAAACGAAACTTCAAGAATCAGTTGAAAACATTCCTGACGATATTCAGTCACCCCCACGCCACGAGGGTGTCATGTGGCACAAGGCCTTTTTTAACGTGGGCATTCCGGGCACGTGGGCTCGGCTGTAAATATGCCCATTGAACCCGTATAAACGGGTTCAGGGGTCGAGCGCATTCCCCGAAGGAGACTCCGCCCTTCGGCGAAGCCTCCTTCGGGTTCCTCTCCGTTGAAAACATTCCTGACACAGGCCAACATCGACCCTAAGACCTGGGAAACCGCTGCTGCAAATCGGCCTTCCTGGTGTAGGACTATCCGATAGGGGAGCGAGACTTTCGAGTTTAACCCTCAACATGCAGATGATCTGCGACGTGCTGACAGGAGGGCCCCACTCGCCCAACCGCGTCCATCACCCACACTCCTCTGTAACTCCTGCTCACGACTCTATAGGTATAGGCTGGGCCTTCACAACTATAACCACTACGAGAGGGAAGAAAGGGAATAAGGAGAAAAGATGACGATCCCGATGCGAGCGGTTGCTGACAACGACTATGCCACAAATTCACGAACCACTGATTTAATTCACTAAGTGGTTGCTCTATGACGCAATACTGGGCCTAGAACCTGCAGTCTTGAATCTATTAGTAGAGTAGACTATATTTAGTCGTCCCCCCACGAGGGCGTCATGTGGCACAAGGCCGGTTTAACGTGGGCACTCCGAGCCCGTGGGCACTCCGAGCCCGTGGACTCGGCCAAAAATATACCCATTGAACCCGTATAAACGGGTTCAGGGCCGGTCTACCTCCCCGAAGAAGACTCCGCCCTTCGGCCGAGCCTCCTTCGGGTTCCTCCCTCCCGAAAGCAGAGAGTTGAACCGAACCGTCGCTCAAGATTAGTAGAGTAGACTCTGCGCAAACAGAGCGAGCAAAACCTGGGCAGTATTAAAATGGGCAAATGAAAGGTATTCCAAGATATTTACAACTGAGTGAGAACAAGCGACCCTTGCAGATTCAATAAACGTCAATGCTGATGTCTACGCCGACAGCTGAAGAAAACCGGAGTGCTCAACGTCCGAAACGTTGTGATAACAACAACAAAGATGTGGATATTAGTTCGAATGTAAATAACGATAGCTCTTAATCCCAAAAGCAAATACGAGAATAGATAACGACTCAGAACGAGAAATCAGAGAGATCGAATTCCAGTCGGGTTCATTACATTCATATAGGTGCAAATATCCTTGGTAAGTCATGAAACCACCTCCTTCGCCCAGTTATGAGTTAAATACCGTCGTGAAGATGAACACACCTCGCCAGAATAGGACTTGGACTCGTCCAAATACATAAATACGGAAACCGGGAATCGTCAGTAGAAGGAGTAAGCAAGTAGAGAGTTAGAGATCCAGCTTAACTGCTTACTACGTATTTCAGCAAGACTACGTCAACAAGCAACATACTACTTCTTGAGCGAATAGTATAACTTGCGTCTGGGAAAAGCGTTGTTATTCTTACAGAATTGTTTCTGCAATATTCACCCACAACAAAATTAAAGAATTAGACCTACAACCCAAGATATGTTTCAGCTATAAATAATCCACAAAGGGCTGAAATTCAGTCAGCATTGTTCATTATTTATCTTAGCCCAACAAACTTCGGGCAACAAAGCGTTAGCGAATGCTTTGTCATCTGTGGCTCTTTAAGCAAACATACGTTTATGTTCATCCCTATTCAAAAGATTATATCGATTTTCCATAAGTTATAAAGATAAATTCATCGCTTGATTATCAAAATCATAACGCCTCGCAATCGCAGATTATACAAGCACATAATTCTACCGACTGGAAGATGCTGTAGTATTGTCGGTTAATCTTTATGGACTATAGTCTTTGCCATGATGTGCCAACTCTGATTTTAACAGTATTCGTATTCTCTCTAAAAGACAATGCGGCTCAAGGACACATCACTTTGAAAGACCGATTCCCATACGACCACCGAAGTTAAGTAACGTCAATCCTGCACAGTACCTAGGTGGGTGACCGCTTGAGAATACCAAGTACTGTAAGCGTGGATGTGCGGGCGGTGTAATGGATAACGAATCGGAATTTTAATCTAAATCCCGTTGGATTCGTTATATTCATTTACGCGCAAATACCCTTGAGAAAGTTGTGAATCCACCTCTTCTCGCCCCAGCTATGGGTTAATTAGTAAAAATTGTATCACTGAATCATTATCATCTCCAAAAACGTTCCTACAATTTAAAAATATTTTCTGGCTTTAAGTAAACCTACAAAGGGTTGATAAGCCGTCAAAAAGGAATCAATAAATAACTAAATGACAGTAAAACTTTCAGGGTTTCTGCGATTGTACTCACCGAACGAGGTCTGTCGGAAAATGATTTCTTCTTCTTCTTCTTCTTCATCTTCTTCTTCTTCTTCTTCTTCTTCTTCAGTTTCTCCCTCTTCTTTTTCTTCTATATACCCGTAGGCGATCATTGCCCTCCATAATTTACTGTCCTTTGTAGCACTTAATAAATTTTGTTTTTTTTTTATTATCTCTCCTAAACCTTCTTCTGCCAACCATCGCTAGGTAGGTAATGCAATGTTTTTCTTTCTACCTCTTGCTCTCAATAAGACCTGTGTGTATCAAATTTTCCAAACACTCATTCCTCATTAAGCGCCCTAGAAATTTCAACCGTCTCTTCCTGGTGTTAACCATAACTGTCCTTTTTGTTTCCATTTTCTCTAAAACTTTGTCGTTGTTCGGTCGGGCTACATTTCTGTCGCTTGTCCGTGAGGAGATTATCCGGCATTCACTGCCATATAGGAGGACTGTTATGTCATAACAGTTCAGTACTCTTTTCTTTGTTTCTGACGATTTTTTCTGTTTCTTAATACTCTGCTTAGCTTTTGGAAGGCAACTTTCGCTATCTCAATACACCTTATGATTTCAGTATTGCACTTTCCGTCCTCTATTAAAACACTTCACAGACAGTGGAATGATGGATAGCGGCTCGGACTGAGGAATTGGAGAGCCGAGTTCGAATTCTACTCGAATCCATTACATTCACTTGCGTGCTAATAACCTTGGGAAAGGTATGAATTCTCTTCTTCTAAGCTCTGGGTAAATAGCAAAACAGACCGGGTTCTATAACTAGAAACTATAATGGATGGCAACTGGTTTACCGCAGAAAGAAATGGCTACCTACTACGTGAAAAAAATCTGCCTCGTCAGTCATGCATCGAAAGATACATGAACGCCTAAGCGTATATCACGCATGGCACATAACTGACTAATGTTAGGCTTTTCTTATTGCTAAGAAGCACGCATTTTGTCTTCTTGCTTTCTTTCACTACCTTTTGCAGGAATTATTGTCGTTTCTTTTTTTGTGTCTGCTATCAATAATGTGTAATCTGCATATCAGAAGTTGTTAAGATTGTGGCGCCAATAATGAATCCTGATAGGAATACTAGTTCTCTCGGAGTTGCCTTGAGAAGACATATCTTTGTCTTACACCCCTTGATTTCATTTTCTATCCGTCTGAATGCAGTATGCTATTGACGAACAAATGTTTCAGAAGTTAAGCAATAATACACTGAAATGTAATATGGCCACGGATGGTAGGGTCTATGTCCTCACAAAAGAAGAAGAAATTTGAAGCGGCAGATTTGGTTCCAACGGTGAAAACTGGGAATACTATCGACAGACCAACAAATTTTATGCAAAACTACTGTTGAAATTACTAAATGTAATCATATATATATATATGTGTGTGTGTGTATGTGTGAATAAAAATGACAATAGGAAAACTAGTATTTGCTGACGAGTTTCGTCCAATGTGGACTTTATCAATTAGTTACTTATTCAATTAAATTCATTTCGTATTTTGCTTTGATAAAGTCCACATTGGACGAAACGCGTCAACCATTACTAGTTTTCCTATTGTCATTTTTATTCATAAATATTGTCTTCTCTACTGGTTAAGTCGGAGAAATGAATCCATCCATCCGCTTTTGACCAAATTTGGCATATACACTATACAAGGTAAGAAATAGCGTAAAAATCGATATATTTTTTAAAAAATCAATAATCGATAAAGCCGATCAAAATCGATAAATACAAATTTTTTACTCCGATTTCGTTCAAACTTGGTATGTAGGTATCACTTACATCATTTCGAGCTCAACGATACATTTTTATTTCTACGCCACTGCGTTTAGCGAAAAACGCGAAAAGCGAAAAATCGATTTCAATACAAATCGATTTCAACGCAAATTTTAAACTAAAAACTCCCCCAATTTTCAAGCAATCTAATACAAACTTCACTCAATTGTAGCCAACAATAAGTTGATTGTTTAACAATCATTTAACTTGATAACTGAGTCCACCTATATAGTAAAAAACCGCGTAAATAGCGAAAAATGGCGATTTTTACTTGTTTCTTTCTTATTTTTCGTCGAGCTTTCAACCAATTTTCATCAAACTTAACAACTGGTTTGTAAATGTATCCTCTTTTACATTTCTGATAGCACACTGACGAAGTGAATTTCAAAAACTCCAAAATAATTATGGTCTGAAGTGGTTTTTATGTTGCCTGTTTTACCTCTTCATCTCTTCTGTTAATTTCGATTGAATAAATACAGACTACTTCTTTTATATCAGTAACTTCATTAATTCAAAATGTTTTTAATGAAAGTACTTTAAAGTAATTGAAAAAGATAGACTCTGTTACATCTAAACATTATGCCGTTTTTGTTCCATTCTAATTGAATGCACCTATGGTATGGCTGCTAGTAGATTATATTCTCGCCTGTGGAATAATCTCCGACTCTTTATTTCCTGTTAACTACATTCTCCATCTTCTTCTATCTCCTTGAATCTTGTTCATTTCATTGCCCTTTCCTTCTCCTGAAGTGACCACATGCGTCTTAGTGGCTTTATTGCCGTGTTTGAGGGTAAAATGATTTTTTTAAAAATAATAACTAAAAGAACATGACAATCACTAAAGATACATTTGAAATTCCTTGACCAAATAATGAGGAAAGAGAGTGTAGCGAATCTAACACTCACAGATAAATTAAAGGCGAAAGAAATGAGGGAAGACAGAGAGTAACCATGTTTTATGAATGTATATTAGAACAAGGACAAAAATTGGCAATGGGACAATTTAATTAGAGCAACAAAATATAGGATGTTGTGGAGAGCCTATATCGCGTACTTCCAGAAGGCATGTAACACATAAGAGAAGAGCCTGCCTTGAACAATCCTCTTCTGAGAAGCCCCCTTTGGATTTCATTTGTCCATTCCACTTTCGATAACATGCTATAAATATTTGTTTCGAGGTCTTCATCAGCTATCTCTACGCGTTCGCTTTAATATCGTCCATGCTTTGAAATTTCTACCTTTTAAACGGCGACCGAAATCTTGGGGTGCTCAAACTCGTGATCCTGTACAAAGTGAGAAGCATGAACTGCTAAGATATTCCAAATAGTCGGCGACTTGCGACACAGAGAAATCACCGTAAATTCAAATTCTTGTCCTGCTGAAAGCCGATTTTCTTTTATTGCAGTACTTCCAGAGCTGAGCAATACTTCCAGAGCTGATATCACTTTCAAGGGATACCCGGGTAAGTCTGAAATTTCATCTTGGCTTTGTTTATTGATATACCCCGAAATTCTATTTAAATCATTCAAATAATTTCCGTGGACCAACAGAAAATTTTGTATCTACTCCCTCCGCTATTGTGAATGCAATGGTAACAGAATATATAAGTTCACTCAATGGCATCTCATTGCCAACTGAATATCCCCACCGGATAGTTTCCTGTCATGCATATGCAGCAAGTTTCATAAAGGTTGTGCAAGTGCCTTTCGAGAAATTTAAAATGGACGAATGCTTCCAAAACAACCCTCTTATATCGTACTTTATGTCACATTGAAATCGCGAATCTTTAAAGTGTCCCCAGCCCGTAATAAATTAGATGGATAGAATTTAGGCGTTCTAGAGATTCGATTTCCTGTTTTTATGGAGATATTTGTTGACATTCACGGCAGGATTTATCAACTTTAATTCCTTATGGCTTACCTACTGTGATTTTAATTGCCTGCATGGTGAAGTTATAATATAAAGAGGAAAATATAAAATACAGCAATAACGAAATAGAGTCTCGAGAATAGCTTGCAATCAGTAGAATAGCGAACCTTAGTATTTGGAATATCCAGATGAAAAAAAAATTCCCAAGAAAATAACGTTTATAATCAGCATTTTATTTAATGAGGACTTTTCTCAATTCAGAAGTACAGAAAAGCCATAATAATGAACATGGTCACCATTTAAAGTTAAGAAAGGTCCTCATCAATTGAACTTAATGAGAACCTTTTCATGACAGGAAAAGTCATTAACGTAAAACAGAATTTTGGAATGGGAAAGATAACTCTACGCTTTATTCAAATGGGAAGTGCGTACTTAATTTTTATTCAGGTTTCATTCCCTGACGAATATTGCCAATATTAACTGAGGCTTTTTGTTGCTCACATTTTCTGTACTTTATACTGATAAGAGCTTTTCTTCGTGTAAAATAGGGAAATAAATAATATCAGAAGAAAAGCCTTAAATGAAATTACCATATTGGATGCCATAAAAGACCAACTTATCCAACTGTGAACGAACCATTCCGTCCTAAAAAAAAGTTTTCTCTTTATGCTAAAGAAAAATTATCTAGACAAATTCATAAAATATTCCTTGTCTGCCGTATTCAATAATACTGAATATGATTGTAGAAAGAGGGGAATCGCTACAGACAAGGATCAGAACTATGGACAATTCGTTCATGGTGATAAAAAAAAATCATTCATCCTTTTGTATGAAAACAAAGAAAGAAACTACATAAAAATTAAAACAGTATTTTTCGTTTGTTAGATTCAAGAATAAATTAAAAACTGCAGACTAAATATCGAATGAAATCTTGAAAAGAATAAAACAAAAATCAAGAAAAACCGGGCCTAATCAGGTAGAGAAAAAATGAAAACAAAAAGAAAGCACATTAAAAAACAATAAATAACAAAGT